GGACTTTCCCCACCTGACTGTTGGGTCAATTTTTAGGGCCCTGTTAAACAGGTAAGTTTTCAAAAAGTGAGTGGCCTCTGCAGTCAGCTACCACAGCCCCCCAGGGGCACTTGCCTGCCAGCTCCCTAGGTCACCAAGGCCATATCAGCTCAACACCTCCATGGGGCAGGAACCACTGACCTCATTTAACAGACAAAGATACTGAAACTCAGCCTGCCTGTCAAGGTCAAAAGGCCTGCCTGTCAGGGTCACTCCCCAGTGAGTGACAGAGGCCACAAATCACTGCCCCCAAATTGGAACTAAGGAAGGAACCCCAGGAGTTCTGAGGAAAACACATCAGAGAGCCTCCCAGAGGAGGACAGTGGGAAGAAACGAATCATGAAGTCCTGCCAGACAGGTCACCATCACCTCATGGCTACTCAAGGAATCCTTTCATCCCCTCTCTGCTCATTCTGAAGTTGGGGGCACACCAATCCTCTCTGAGTGTGGCCTGCAGCAGGTCTGGGATCCTACAGGACCTTTACCTATAAACTGGGCCAATGGGTCAAGCAGAGAGCCCACCTTCTAGCTGTGACACTAGTCTCTGCCTCCTCCCCTACACCACTGTGCATCCCTCCTATGACAGCCTGAGTGACCTTGGCTTCTTCAAAACCCCACCTTGTCCTCCCAGCCTTTGCTCATCCCACCCCCTCCACCTGCATGCCTTCTTTCCCAGCATACCCAAGCCCACCTGGGACTCTGCTCTCCTGAGCCCCACCTCCACCCATCTGTGCTCCACCAGCCAGCAATATCACCCATCATCACTCACACAGCCTGTTTGTGGCACACTGGAACCCCAGGCAGAGACCAAGGAAGAGTAGAGCCCCAGGACAAGCACAGAAGGCAGTCTGAGAATGGACCTGCATCCTGGACAAAGCACAAGACTCCTTCTGTAAATAACGCAGTATGCTTGGCTGTCCTTTCTAAGATCAGGAGCAGTGCACTTGTGCACCCAAATAAACAGACTGGATTATTACCTACTGGATAAAATGAATAGCACTGATTTATGTGAGAAATGGAGAGAACAGACAAAGTTCCCAGGAGGGATCCCCAATAATTTATGTGGCTGCTCCACTCCCAGTGAGGCAGAGTCTCTATCCCCACTCTTCAAGTGGGCTGTGCAAAGTAGCTTCCCTGCAAAGAGTGCAGCGTGGGAAGAATGAGAAAGGATAACTTTGCAGGGCGGAGATACCTGATCAACGCCTCCCCAGCCAGGGAGTCAAGGTCACCACCATCAATGATAGCACCGTCCCTTGCCACAATGTACTGAGGGTGGCACTTCACATCTCAAATATCCTTCCCACAGGCATCGTGAGAAAACCAGTAGACAAATTCCAGTTAAGAAATAGTCAACAAAATGCCCAGGCAGAATTCCAAAAGGCCAAGGTCATCAGAACCAAGTGGAATTTGAGGAACTTGTCACAGCCCAGAGGAGCCTAGGAAGGCAGCACAGCTAAATGTAAAGTCTCCGGGGCCCTGGATGCGATTCTGGAGCAGAAAACGGGTATTAGGAGAAGCTGGGGAAATGGTAAAACACAGACTCTGGTTAACAACAGCATGTCAGTATTGACGCCAACTGGGACAGATGTCCCATGCTAATGTCAGGCATCAGCGATAAGCGATCCAGGTGTGACAAACACAAGAACTCTGGACTATGTTCTCGATTTTTCTGTAAATTGAAAATTGCTCTAAAAGTTAAAAGTATACTTTAAAAAGTAGTTCATGCTCATGGTGGCCACTATGGAAAACACAGGTCGTATTCCACTGGCCTTGGCCTCGTTCCCTTCTAGCCATGTTTTGACATCTCCTGTTTCTTCACAGTTGAAATCTGTGTAAGATTTTAAATCCCAGCAGGTGTTAATTTTTTACCCCATGTATTTTTTTTTTTGGTAGTACTGGGTTTTGAACTCAGGACTTGCTAGGCAGGTGCTATAGCACTTGAGCCATACACCCAATCCTTTTGCTTTGGTTTTTGGTTTTTTTTAATAGGGTCTCGAGTTTAAGCCTAAGCCAGCCTGGACCTTCATCTCATATTTATGTTTCTCATGTAGCTGGGATGGCAGGTGCGTGCCAACACAACCAGCTTTTATTGATTGAGATGGAGTCTAGAGAGCCCCCCATCCCTGGGGTTGACCTCAAACCTCAATCCTCCAGATCTCCCTTCCTGTGTAGCTAGGATTACAGGCATGAGCCATTGCACCTGGCTTGGACAGTGCATTTCTAATAATGGAATTCTAGGAACTTGAGAGGAGCAGTCAGGAAGAGAGTTGCAGGCAAAGGGTCTTCTGGAGATCCCCCCTCCTGCCACTGGCTAGGACAGGGACAAACCAGGACCCAAGGGGTCAACTTAAGAAACTTCTCTTGCTTCCCTATGTGTATGAGCACGGGTGCCCAGAGAATCCTCTACACAAACCCAGCTGAATCCCAAGGAAGGAGCTCCCTGAAGGAAGCCCAGGACCTGACTCTCCTGTTAAGCACAAAAGAATCTTCCCGTAATAACACAGCCATGACTTGATGATTGGTACAGCAAGGTGCTGTCTCAGAACGTCAATGGCCCAATTTAACCTCCCCAGAGAGACCAATCCACAAATAGCCCGCAACGTACAGAGTCTGTCACTCATGGCTGACTCCAGATGACACCAACACGGGCAATTGGCACATCTGGATGACGGCTTCTCTTTCTCATCCAGATGTTCGAGGTCCTGTCAACACACCTGGCCCCCATCTGCTGGGCCACAGGAAATCCCACAGTCCTGCCCTTTCTGAGAAACTGGGGCCTGGAAGATAGGCTGGCCAGGTGTCCAGTTTCCAGGCTACTCAGCTGCTGTACACCTCCTGTGATCTAGAACATCCCATGGCTACCTATGACTCACATAAGAGACAGTGGTTCTCCAGCAGGCATGATTGTGCCCCATGTCTGGGAACATGGCTGGCATGGGAGGAGGGGGTGGCTGTCGGCATCTGGTAGGAAGAGGCCTGAGATAGTGTTCACACGATGCAGCTTCTCCCCCCACTGCAAAGGACTATTCAGCCCCAAATATCAGTAGTGCACTAGAGGAAATTTCCAAATTCTTGGTTTGTCATTCAAAACCCTGTCACCTCCTCCACCAACTCCCCAACCTCCAGGTTGGTCTCAGTAGTCCCCTGCACCAGATGTACACACACATACACCTTTGCACACCTGTTTCTCCTCCCTCTGCCCATACTGCCCACGGCCAAGCCCTGAAACTCCTGCCAATGGCACTGCCTCCAGGAAGCCTTCCCTGATCACTCAGCTCATACAGTCTCCAGTTCTTTGCATGGGGACTGGACATCAGGGAACCATTTGCAGGCAAAACTCCTCAGATGGCATGATAGAGAAGAAACGCCCAGAGTCACTGGTCCAGGCCTTCAAGGGGATTTTTTTTTTCTTATCGGTCACCAACTTTAAAACATCAGAAGATGCAACAGAGAAACCTGCTTCCTGAAAGACCAGAGAGCCACTGCCAGACCCAAATTCCTTCATGGTGACAATCAGCAGAAACAGCAGCCGGCAGAGTAGATAGAGCAAGTGCTCCCGGTCACCACAAGCCCCTCTGTCATCCTGGAGTCACTGACTGACCTGTGTTGACCTGGATGCATCCAAGCTGGACTCTGAGCCTCATAAGCTCAAAGACAGGCTCATCCAGGGATACACAGCAAGCTAGTGGCACAGCCAGTGTAAGAAGCCAGGGACCTCGGCAGGGCCACCTCTGAATGCCATATTGTCCTCATCAGAATGTTGCACAGTCTCAGAGAACAAAGGCCTTGAAGACTTGATAGGGGGGCAGCTGGGACATCAGCTCTTGTCCTGGCAGGACCTGAGCATGACAACCTCAGCCCCTCCTGGGCTCGGGGCCTGGGATCTGACAGGCTGTCTCTGGTGGCAGGTGTGGTGTCTGAAGCACCACTTCCAAGAAAGCACTCAGCTGTGTCAGGCACAGTCCTATGTGTTCTGTCCTCATAGCAGCCCTGTCACACAGCTATTGTCACGCCCATTTTTAGATGAGGAAACAGACTCAGAGAGGGTAGTAAGTTGTAGAAGGCTACAAAGCCAAGAAGCAGAGATGCCAGAATTTGTACACAGGAGTCTGGATCCAGAGGCTACCCACTGTGAGGCATCCTCCCCTCCCCCAATCCCCCCATGGCTGGCTCTTGCTACAGCCCTGCCAGACCGGAAGCAGATGCAGCCAGGTCTCTGCAGTTTGCAGCAGCCTGACACAGCCTGCAGACTTGGGCTGATTTTGAGGAAGTCCTTCCAAGCCATCAGACAACTGTCAACCGCAGGACCTAAGTCACTGAAGCAGGAGAACACTTGGGCCTGGGGGACCTGGGTGTGGCCAGGAGTTGGGGGTTAGGCATGGATCTGACAGAACAAGGACCTGACCCTCAGCCAGCCCAGACCCCAGGGGGAGCCTCGACCCCAGTGCCAGAGTCGCACTGTAACATGACAGGAGACGCAAGCTTCAAGTTAGGCTGTGCACAGCAGCCTCCAAAAAGGAGCCACTGAGCTATTACCTTCCCCTTCAGTTTTCCACAGAGCCTGGCCAGGCAAGTCACTCACAGAACAGTACACCACCCTCAGAGGGAGAAGGCAGTAGTCTGACTTAGCTGGGAGTTAAGAGGACTCAGCCCCCTGACTCCTACTGGATGCACAAAAAGGAGACATTGACTTACAGCCCCAGCAGAAGCCCAGGCCCAGGGAAAGAATCAGAGCTGAGCCTCCCCGATCCAGGCTCCACAGCTCCTCCACTTACACTTCTTCTGAACATGGGTCACCTTGAGGCTGCTAGTTTGCCCCATTTGACATGGGGAAAACTGAGGCCCAGAACAGGAAAGAGTTTGTACAAGGTCCCAGAGAGAGGCTGGAGGCTCAGTCAAACAGAGGTCCCTGCACACACATGTGCACACACACCCTTTCCACCAGCCTCCCTTATACTCACCACATGGTAGATGGCCAGGGCTGTGGTGGCAATCCGGACATTGAAACAACAGCAGGTCTGGGGGATGGAGACCACGCGGGGGGCCATGGTGCACTGTCCCCTCCTGTGAGGCACTTGATGGGGAAAGAGCCCAGGGCCTGGAGCAGGAGAGAAAAGGGAAGCTGTGGGCTGCCCTCCTCACTTCCGTCCTGCCCCCAGACAGCAGGGGCAGGGTCGTCATGACAGGGCGGGGCAGCTGTGACGGAAGGGGAGGGGAGGGCCACAGTCTGGCTCAGAGAGCCTGGCCAATCATCCACCACTCCCAGGGGGCTCAGGAGAGGGCATACCCGACACCCTCAGTACCCACCCTGTGCCAGGGCTGGGCTAAATGGTTTCATACATCCTGCTTCCTGAATGCTCATCACCACCCTCAGAAGCCAAGACAGTGACAAAGCCCATTTCTAGATGAAGAAGCAGAAGTCCAGAGAGGTCAAGGCATTTGCCCAAAATCACATGGCAATTAGTGCTGTTAGTAGGGTTCAAACCCAGATCTGTCAGTTGCAAAATAGCAAGTGCTAACCCCCATGTCCTAAGCACGAGTCTGAGTTAGTCCCTTTACTCCTCGTCCACACCCTGGGAGGAAGTGCCCACTTCACAGATGAAGAAACTGAGGCGCAGAGAAATGATTTGCCCACAGTCACCCAGCTGTTCAAAGACAGAGTGGGGATTTGAAGGGAGGCTGACCGGCTCTAGAGGTGGCAAATGTTTCCATGCTTGCAAAGTGAGGCGAAGGAGTTCGCCCACGGTGAGGTTGTCTGATCTCCCTGCCCTCCACCCCCCGCTTTAGGGAGAAGGTTTCTCCCTGAGTGCTGAAGAGGCTTCCAAACCAGGACAGAAGAATCACTACTAAGCACAGCCATCCCAGCCACGTGCCAGGCCCTGGGCCAGGCTCTTCCTGTCACTGCTCTGCAACTCCTAGGAGTTGCATTGCGTCTGCCACGGGGACACGCATGGTTAACCCCTCCACCTTTACTCTGGGATTTTTTTTCTTCTTCTTCACTCTTGGGAAAAGTTGGAATTCATAAACCTTGACTACTGAACAAACTGCCTTGGGATCTTCACTCCCTTCCCAGATAAATTATCCATATTGCAATAAAGGAAGGGAACCCAGAGCACAAGCAAAACACCTGTAAGAAGCCCTGTGCGGTCCCAAAGGTGAGCTCGCTCCCAAAGGACAGCTTCCAGCAGTGCCAAGCAAGAACAGCTGTACAGCTGCCTGACATCACCTGGTGAGGTCCCGCCTCTCATGACATCATGGAGTTTGGATTGGCCACCACAGCAGCCCATCATTTCTGCCCCAAGAGAGGTTGTTTTTTAAAAAGTTGCTAAGCCTCTCCCCCTTAGCAAGAGCTGTGCTGTGGGACTCACAAAACTTGAATGGTTGACTTGTCTATTTGCTGATGAAACCAAGGGGACTGTGCAGGGTTGGGGCTCCTGAGAGACCCAGATGATCCCTTTCCTGCATCATTTGCAAGCCGATTTCCTCTCCTTCACAGGCCTCACTGAGACCTGGCAACCGAGCAAAGTGATACAGTACAGTGATTAAGAACACATGAGCCAAGTTCAAATCCTACCACCTTCTGGCTGGGTGACTGAAGCAACAAGAGAAGCAACAAAGGCAGAGGGCCTGAGATGAGAATGGGGCCAGGAAGGCTCTGACCACACTGGGATGCCCACATTTGAGCCTGGTGGGGAAGCCATTGGGCAATTTCATCTCACGATAAATGGTCATTAGTGCCATTCTGACTTGGCACAACCACAGCAGGTGTGAAGCCAGCGAAAGGGATGAAATGCCCTGACACAGTGTGACAAATTTAATAGGATTGTGGATGAACATTTTATAGTGGTAAATTCATTTTAATGTGTATTATAAAAATATATATAACTAGCCCGTGAATTCTGTGATGGTTCACTTATGGAAGCAATATAAAGTTTCATTTTCAAACAGAAGCATTTATATTAAGAAGCAGAAGCAGTAAGTTAGTTGAAAGAAAATAGGAAGAAAGTCTCACATGCACACAGATGTGGCAGACGGCTGTGGAGGTGGAGTTGGGAATCCTGGGGCCTGGGGAATCCCAGTCCCCGCTTAGTATCTGTGTAACCTCAGGAAGGGTGCTTGGCCTCTCTGAGCTGTTGTTATCACGTCTGCAAAATGAGGGGGCGGGAGTTTGCCCTCAGAGAAGATGAAATCAGGTCACGTGAACACATCTGTTTGTTTCCTCCTTTCCGGTTCCTCCCTGCTTCCCTTGCCACCATCCCACCACCACCCTTGCTCAACCACATTCAAACAGCCGGGAGCTGGGATTTGAAACTGGTCTGTTGGGTCCTGGATCCTGGGCTGGTCGCAAGGAGCATATCGTCCTCCCCACACACTGTCCCCCTCCCACAGCATTAGCTTCTGATGGAGTCTTTCGCTCCTTGCTAGGTCTCCAGCTGGTCAGGGCCCTGGGCCACTCCCTGGGGAAGGCAAGCCTGACTCTCTATGTCTTTCCTCCCCCACAGCCGTCCTGAGGAGGGAAAAACAGTTATCCCAGAAGTCGGACTTTTAGCCAAGGCCACCATACGAAGCAGAATACAGCACTCCCTCCCTCCTTCCCCTCCCCACACCTCCTAACCCCTGAAATGGTGCTTAGGTTGCAATGCGATTAAACTAAGGGTCGTCAAATGAGGAAGGGTCCTGAGTCAAGGAATGCAGGCAGCTTCTACAAGGCAGAAGAGTCAAGAGAACTTCAACATCTTGACAGGGGGACCTTTTTGGGACTTTAAAAGCCTCCAGATTATAGGGCAACAAATTCGTGTTGCTCAAGATGATTTTATACGAAGCGGTAGAAACCACAGCTTCCCTGCAGAGTCCACAGCACAACCTGGGCCTCCTGATGAGGGCACTCCCACACCCTCCCCAGAGACCGTGGTCCCCATCCCGACAGCCCCTATTCATGCTCTGCCCTTTCTCACATGTTCTGAGCTCCTGACCACTTGTTCTGTCCTCCTTGCTGATCAGTGAAGACGTGGGAAACTCAGACCCTCCCTCCCAACGCCTGAGATGAGGAGGAAAGACGTTCCACGACCCCATGGCCACAGAGTGCAGGTTCAAAGCTGCTTCTTACACTGTCCTTGCAGGTGTGATTTTTGACACAAAAATCTTCAAAGTCTCCCTGGCATCAAGGATGGTTCTGGACCCTAAAGTGCCCATCATATTTGATCCCCAAAAAGAGTCTGTACTCCTGGCTAGGTCGTCCAGCTCAATGGATGGCTGCCATGGGGAATGAATATTTGAGCAGACTCTGTTTCCTCAAAGGCAGAGGACTTGCAAGCTTTCTCTGTGGAGCAGAAGAACATGTTGGAACTTCGCCTTCCACCCATATGCCCGGAGGTAAAAATAAAACCCTCGCCTCTGCCAGGTTTCTATTTAAACAAAGAGTTTGGGTGTCATGTGTTCTTTCAATGAATCCAGATTAAGTGGAGGGTCTGGGTCACGGATGTGCTCCACAATGGGACAATTTTGATTGTGAGTGTTTGATTATTTCTGTCTTCAGTTAACCCCTCCCTCTCTGCCCCATCCCAGCCAGGAGAGCCTGGTGGGGATGTGCTTCTGGTTCATCCCGAGGGATGGTGGACTGCAGCAGGACACACACCTGGTCACATACAGCTGTTCAGCAGCCAAAGCTTCTAGAAAGCAGGTCCTCCTTGGGGACAGTGGCTTGGGAGGCATGTGAGTAGGGCAACTAAGGGCCACTCCAGGGATCCTGGAATGCTGACAGTCAACTTCCTGCCAGACCACAGGTTGTTATTCCCACCTAGCTGCCTCACCTGCCTTCTGGGCTTGGAGCTGGGACCTGCACAGCTGAGAACAAAGTTTAGGAAACATGAAGAGCCATACTGCAGTCTGTCCTTTCTCTTGTGCCCACGCAGAATGTTGCCCAGGCCAAGCACACACTGCAGTTGTGGGGTTGAGCTCAGAGCCACAGGCCCTGCTCTGTTACTTCGTCCTGCTGCAGGGATCCAGGCCTAGGGTTCAGAGACAGTCAGGTTGAAAGTGGGCCCTCCAGCAACCTTCAGCTGAGAAGATGCCCTGACCTGAGCCTGGGTGTTGGAAGATCCAGGAGGTTCCCCTCAGCTGCAGTGCAGAGGTAGTGGCTGCCCACAGGGCACAATCACACCATACAGATTAGTAATTGATGTGCAGCAGGACAGGGCCCGCAGGACAAAGGAACCAGGGGTCTTCAAAGCTGGCTGTAAAGAGCTAGAATCAAAGAAAGTAGCCCCAGACACTCAGCACTTCCCAGGACCCAGCACTGTGGACTGAGAATGCAGCCTGTGCTATTGGAGCAGAGCAGAGCATTGGACCTATGAGACCTCGCTCCTCTCCTGTTCTGATCTCAAGCTGATTTGTGAGTGGGATCGTAACTGTGCCCAGGATTGCAGGAGAACAAGAGTGACCCCTGTCCAGCGTCAGCCTCTCGCAGTACCCCTCCCCCACTGTTAACCTGCCCTCGGGAAGAACCTTATTGATCAGGTCCCTCATTAATCTACAGTTAAGAATTACCTCAAAGGGCATTTCCCCCAAATAGGGGATTTTTATCTAACCAAATAAAAACAACAGCCACCACCAAACAACGAAAGTGTCTGGCCCTGCCCCTACCAGAAGTTAAAAATAAAAAGCAAGTCAGAGAACTATTTATGCTTTGACCAGTAGTGCTATTAAGCACTTCTAGGAAGTCAACAGCTTTTCTGATTGAAAAGGAAAAGACTCCATGAGCACTGCTCTCTCCCCATTATCCTAGCTCCCTTCTTCCTGCCAGAAATGCAAGTGCAATGTCCAGAGGAACTGCAGTCATTTTGGAATCATGAAGACAAAAACCATATCCTAAGACAAGTAGCGGGGTAGAGTCAGAAAGCACCTGGGTCCCTGAAGCATTAAGAAGCCTCTGTGCCAGTCATCTGCACATCGTGTAAGAAAAAGGAACATTACCCAAGTCTTCATTCATGCATTCAACAAAAGTCTTGTTGAAGATATCCAACATGGAGCCAGTGAACAAAAACACCATGAACAGGTTACTTGGTCAGGTGATGACTGGCCCCATGCCACCCAGCC